GGGGGGGGGGGGGGGGGGGGGGGGGGGTAGTATAAGGCTTTTAAGTACCCTGATTAGCATTGGTAATGGCTTTGTATCTGATAGGAAAAGAGCCCATTCCTTTGTACCAGCCCATCTCTGTTACTGGGTATAGTTGGTTTGACTGGATTGACTTCCTATTTTGGCATCAAAGAAAGAGCACACATTACAGCTGGTGCTGATCAAACTGTTCTCATCAGCGGGGCTGCTGGAGCTTGTGGGATGGCTGCAGGGCAGGTGAGGAACTGATTGCTTTAAGGAAATTGTTCTAATATGAAATGAAATGCTGCTAACTGTCATAGGGACTACATTTGTTCCCTAAGGTTGCATTCCTTGTGGCCATCACTGCTGACCAAAGTTCATGCAGGCTCCAGGGCTGCCACATGTAAAACAAATGAGAAACATCATTGGTTAGAAAGAGGATGGGGTGAGATCCCTAGGGGAAATGAAGTGAGAAGAGAGGGCAGAAGGTAGGATTCCCAGGGAGGTTGGGATGAGGAGCAACAGTAGAAGTAAAAATACAGAAGGGTAGAGGAAATTGGAAGTTGAGACCCCCCCTTCCAACACCCTTGCTCCACACACACATTAGTTCCAGGAACACTGATCTTTTTCTGAGTTAGAAAAGGTTGCATACACATAATATCTCATTATCCAGATTGCTAGGTTGGAGGGATGTGGCACCATTATCGGCATATGTGGATCAGATGAAAAGTGCTGCTTCCTCACAAAGGAGATGGGTTTTGATGATGCAATAAACTACAAAACAACAAAGAACATCAGTGAACAGATAAGAATGAAATGCACAACTGTAAATCAACAAGATAAAGTAATGTTTTATTCAATAATGTAGTATGAAGGGCTAGAAAAGTGGCACAAAACGACCAGTAGAGAAAAGCGATTCCAAATGCTAAGTATTGCACTCGCTTATACACAAAATAAGGTTGGCACGCTACATGCAACCAAACTGTGTAAAATTATATAAGCGTCTATATGTAACAGCGCAATAAAATTTGTTAGTTCAGTTCATTGCGATCTTTGTTTGGCGACGTCTTTGACATGGTTTTGAAAAACAAAAGCCTCTGTTCCTAGTTTTTCAGTGAAATTAGATTTAAATAACAAGCAAGTACAATTCAGCTTAACACCAACTTACCGAAACACAACTACACAAATATTAAAATCTGGCCCGATTTCCATGGAAATAGTTGCACATTGGAGAGCGATCATTTAAATTTTGAAGTTGGAAGTGGGAAGTGGGAAGTGGGAAGTCCCTCCTTGGCTTTCCCAGTCATTTAAGTATTGGGACGTTCCAAAAATTTTCTGCATCTGGGGGTGGAAGAATAGATGCCTGCCAAATTGCAACAGGTCTCGGATCCAGCAAAAAAACTGATACTGACAGGTCTTAATTTCAATCTTAATGGGAAAGGAAGATTCCGACAAGGGCAATTTTCTCAATTTACTGATTCTGATGGTGATAATTTTAGAAATTACATATTCTGATAACCTTGTTTCTTAGAAAATAACATTTCCTACTCCCACTCCTACAAAGAAAATTGCAGATTCAGACAGGATCTACCCAGACCTTACCGGAATATACCTTTCATGGGGGTGGGTTGCGGATAAGAAATGGAATGTTCCATTTACAAAGGCCTTTAAAAAAATGTTTCAAACAGATGCAGCTTGTAGATGAATCTGGTAATGCTTGATGTTCTCACGTAATATTGTTCAGTTAACTTCCTTCCAAGGGTTTAGAAATGGGATGCAATGCTCTTAAGTAGGTATGTGAAAGAGGTACCTTTTTCAGGTAGTGGTATATAAATATAATTTACCACAAATATAATACTTTATTGATCAAGAGTTACTTTACAAACAAAATGAGTAAACTGATAAGCTGCAAGCTTTTTTGCTTCTAAATTTAACATCTTGCCCACCTTTACAGATAAAAATTAAGCTCTTTTGGGGGG